GTGTTGTGTGCAGTTAGGCCTTGTTGACACAGGTTCTAGTCATGTGTAGGCTTGATTTTATTGGCTGCTTCGTCTGTACTCTTGCTATATATACTTGTGATCTCTTGGACTGGCCTTGTGGCCACTGTTGCTTGTGCTCAGAGTGTGTGGTGACGTTGTGATCCACCCTGAGCTTTGTTTTCTTTTGGACTGGTCTTGTGACCGTACTCTTTTTGATTTTGCTAGACACCCCTCACTTAGGCTATGGGGGTGTGTCAAATGTTGTAGCCTATAGTGAGGTTTGTCTTAGAGGGTACAGAAGTTAGGGTTTGTTATATGTACCCCAACCAACATCAATGGAACCATCCATTCCTCATTTTGACAGTTTTCGTGCGTCGTTATGAATCCGATCCGACGGTTATCATTAGCGTACAGTGTCAGTCACGTCGGCATGTTTCAGTTTCATCTCGAGTACGTTGTATGCCACGTGGCGTACTCGTGACACTTTTGCAGTGGTTGCTCAGAAGTGACTTTCCGCAACTTTGAGGTTGATTTACTGCATACCGGGTTAGTTGCGAACTGGTATGCAGTTTGTGACAGTAAGGTGACGGAAAAGTGGCTTCGCAAGTCACTTCAGCACCCACGATTTTGAACCTTGACTTTTTTCTTGCGTTTTTCAAGTAACCCTTGAGTTGCGGTTTTGTTACTTTCAAGTTGCTTTTCGCACTTCCCTTTTCCGCGATGACCATATAAAAAATACGACCAGCTTACTTGTATGAAAGCCTAAGTAGACGCTTACATTGAATAACTAGATTAGCATCTAAAAGCACTCAAACGCGACGTCTCCGCTGGCGCTTTCGGTTTGAGAAAGGACCATGCTAGTAGAAGCATCGAAGCAGATGCTAATCACGGAGCGAGAGAGATGCCTGGAGGCTTGAAAGCACGAGGAGGAAACATTGATTCTCTGGAAATTTCAGTATATGTGGTTTTGTTTTGCTAACATGTAGTTCATACAATTCTCTTTATCAGACTCCCCGCATCTCACGGCTATTCGATTATTTTTTTGGGCGTAGAGCACTCAGGTCACGTATTTTCCTGGGTGATCTGCACGAACTGGCGGTTGGTCATGGGTATGGACGTTCACGTGAATTTCATTCCTGGACTAAGGACCCTGATTCAAAACTTCGTTTCAAGACCTGATCATTCAGTCCGTGAGTCAATGTTTGAGGCTCCGAGTCTTGTAGCTAGCCGTTGCTAACTGAATCTGGAATCGGGATCCCCACCTGTTTGGGGATCAGTTCCCACTGGTACTTTCAGATCGGGCAGTCAGGGTGAAATAGAAAATGTATTCAGTTGGTCAAGCGCCACACATCCATTCGTGAACGCGATCAATTTTCGCTGGTACTCGTTTGTGATTCGAGCAAACTACTTGTATCCCTTTTTACCGCACTGGAAACGTGTCTAGCATACCACACCGTCCAGCATCCACTGCAAGTCAAGCAACTCATCCAAATGAATTTTAGTTCAAACGCGTCCCACCCAACTTCTGGATGGTGATTCGCTGGGGATTGTGATTCGCATTTGGTGAAAGCGCTGAGTCTGAGAAACTCCGCTTCTGCCCATTCACATCCACCACAATCCGCCCTCTCACACCACATAAATACACACTACATTTTCCTTCCAAAACCAGTGTCACGCTTCGTAGCTTCCTAACTTCCTGATTCTTTACTAGCTCGTGGTCATGGCGCGCCTGCTTACTGCTCTCGTTCTCCTGCTTGCCGTCACCATCACTCTCGCATCACTTGCTTCCACGGCTGCTGCCGCTCGATCTGCTCGGTTTCTTGGCAACGGGATGAGTAACGATGGTAGGTCGCAGGCCTCGTCGATTGCATGACTTCCTATGGTAAGTCGCAGACCTCGCCGATGCATGACTACCGATGGTCCGTGCGATGGTGATGCGCACCTCGAGAAGCTAAAGCTGGCTCCATGTGAGGTTATTCCGCCTGCCACTCACTCCCTCCCCATCACTCCCCTCACCCCGTCCCGCTGTCCCCTCGTCCCCTGCGCGAATCCATGTGTCGGCATGGCGTGGCGGCAGGTGCGTCGGGAGCCGTAGGCACCGCCGGCGACATCACGGTAGAGAGCGCGCCGAGTGTTTCTCAGTCCAGCGCGGGGGGCGAGCTTAGCCGTCGCAAGCTTCAGCCTGGCAATACTACCCCTCGGCAATTTCCTAAAGGCCTAAACCTGTTTGCGAAGGATGGTAAATGATCATGCCCGGAAAAGTTTATTGTTTGATTTCATGCGGTTGCTATGTTTTATTTCGTTTATTTTGCATTTTGTCCGTGCTGTGAATGTATTCACGGAGCTTATGATGCCTGCTGGCCAAGGGCTGGGCAGCATTGGTGCTGTGAAGAGCATAACCGACTGGCAGTTGGTTCGAAGGAACTGATGCTCGTTCCTAGAAGCTCAAATCGCGGCGTGAGGTGAATCGCGGCCGTCCACGTGCTCCTGCCTCCCTTGATGTCTCAGGAGACCTTACCCCGAAGTGAAGAAGTCGATTCAGCAGTTTCCCCTTCGCTGTCGCCCATGCGCAGGCACTTTGTGCGTCACAGTGAAGAATAGGGATTGCGCAGCGCCCAAGAAGTCCTACTTTTATGGCTTCACAGGCAACACGCCCAGCCTGAAGGAGATTATCGAGTGCGAGGAGAAGCGTCAGCGACAGTTCAAGGAGTGCGAACAGTGGTGAGCGGGCGACGCTTGTTCGTGAGAGGGCGACGCATGATGGTGGGAGGGCGATGCGGGTTGGTGAGAGTGCGATGCATGTTGGTGAGAGTGCGATTCGTGTTGGTGAAAGGGCGATAATGTAGGGTGAGGTGCTAGTACGCTGCACACACACACCCCGGAAACCATGTGCAAGGTACTTTCTGTGCGGCGCATGATTCGTGTCATGGGAAGCCCATGCAAGCTGTTCCTTTGGAGGGAGCAAGCTTCACAAGTATGTCGGCATGTGCCTTCATTTCCAGCCCGGTCTTGCCCACCTCATCCCCGTCTGCATGGGCTCTGGGGCACAGCCGCCGTCATGGCAGCATGATGAGCGTTGCACGGAACGGCCATACCGGCTGTCCCTCTGTACCGGCTGTGCCTCTGCAGCGCAGAGGCTATAGAGTCTATGCGAGGCCCACCACGCCCGCATGTGCATGTGCTGTATGACTGACTTGTGCCACCTCCCCACCTTGTCCTTCTCTCTGCAGAAATATCCTACTCCATAAGGTCTCAACACCTAGCAAAACCGGGCATGGCAGCTGCCAAGAATTGGAGCATGTAGTAGTGGTGGGGGGAAGATGAGGGGGCTTCTGCTTGCTGAACTTAATTTAGGCTTGTGACCAAGGGGGAGTGCTCATTTCACTCTTGGTCATTCTGCATGGGTGTGCATTGATGCTTGTGTGCACCGTGTTGGTGTTTGTGGGTATGGTGTTGATGCTTGGGTGGGTGGGTGTTTGGGGGAAGTAACCTTTGTGCCTGGATGCCAATCAGCAAAGCAATTTATTTGATTGTAACAACTGTATTTCACCTATCATATGCTTCTTAAGACCCATGTGCAATTATTGAGCAGCCAATACTCAAATACAATGTGTGGTAGCCTAAAGCATCGCTTCATGTGGTGGAGATTTTGACCCTAATAAGGGGTATAGCTTTGGTCTTGGGTTCCTGCACTCATGGCATAAGACTTAAAGAGGGAAGTCTGAATGGGATTAATGGGGTAGTTGAGTGAATCCGAAAATCGTGCACTGTGTAGTAGTAGTAGTAGTTGCACTGTGACGCTTTTTACGATTTTTTTGTTCCTCTACTACGATTTCCGGTGTAGTAGTTGCACTGTGTGCTTGCACATGACGCTGGGTAACATTACAGTCAAGAACAGATGGCAGCCGCATGGCCATATCATGATTGCCATGCTGCCACCCTTGACTGGCGTGGATGCAAAATCCGAAGCGGGGAAGGAGACGCGCCGCGTGGTGTTTCAAAAAGCCATGGATCGCATCATGCAAGACTTCCGAGAGGCTTCTAAATGGTTGGTAATTTGTACATTTGATCCATTTGCCACCTACTCTTTCCAAAGTAGTAGATTTTCATCCCGTGGCAAAATCAGATGTAATGTCATGCGTGTTCCTCTGTTTTTAATCCCTCACCTGCCTACACACTCCAAGAACGTGTTTAGAACGAACAACAACACTCTCTGTCTCATGACCTCCCTTATACTGTACCTATGCTTTCGTTTTACCATCACACACACATTCATGACAAGCCTACCCATCCCACATCCCACCCCTTTCAGTCAACCCCCTCTCCATCACATTCTATCTTGCTTATCACACACATTACACTCCACACAAGAACATCATGCAGATAACCCCCTTCTTCCTCCTACCCCTCGTTCTCTCTCTCTTCTACCACTTCTTAACTCATTAGTCCATCAGACACATGCCTTCCCCCTTCTCTCGCATGCTGAATCCGTACACCTTTTCCCTGCCCCACCCCTTGCTTTGTTTGGTACTCCACAAACAGTGGGATCATCATGCGTGACCCATTCGGTGAACGTCATGAGGTCTACCTAGCCTTATATGCCTACGTTGCAGACCAACCGGAGGCATGTAAGGTGGCAGGCCCTTTTGCAAGCCACCAAGCGCAATATCCGTGTCACATGTGTCTAGTGCAAAGAGAGGACATAAGCAACATGGAGATTTCATCCGAGTACCGAACGGAGGCAGGTCAGGCGGAGAAGGTTGAAGAGTTACTTGCAATACCGACACTTACTGCGCGGAATGATGCCGCAAAAGCCATGAGCATCCACCCAGTCAAGGTGAGGGAGGGAGACGAGATGACAGAGATGGGAGTGAGGAGGGATGAGAGAGAGGAAGGAGGTAGGATAGAGTTGAGAGTGAGGAGGGATGAGAGGGAGGAAGAAGGGAGGATATAGATAGGAGTGAGGAAGGATTTACAGGGAGGAAGATGTGAGGACAGAGATGGGAGTGAGGAGGGATGAGAAGGAGGAAGAAGCGAGGACAGAGATGGGAGTGAGGAGGGATGAGAGTGAGGAAGAAGGTAGGACGAGGACTGGAGAGAGAATGGATCAGAGGGAAGAAGGAAGGAGAGAGATGGGAGTGAAGAGGGAAGAGAGGGAGGAAGATTGGAGGAGAGAGATGGCAGTGAGGAGGGAAGAGAAGACGGAAGAAGGGAGGACAGAGATGGGAGTGAGGAGGGAAGCGAGGGAGGAAGAAGGGAGGAGAGAGATGGGAGTGAGGAGGGAAGAGAGGGAGGAAGATTGGTGGAGAGAGATGGGAGTGAGGAGGGAAGAGAAGAAGGAAGAAGGGAGGACAGAGATGGGAGTGAGGAGGGATGAGAGGGAGGGAGATGGGAGGACAGAGATTTACAACATCTCTTCACTGTCACCCACGCCCTACTCAACCCCTATCCCTTTCAGTTTCCAGGCCAGGTCCCCTCTTCTGATATACCTTTCGCAACCCATCACTTTCCCCTCCCTTTGTTCCTCAACAGGCAGCAATATGGGGGTTGGCCTTGGGCGGAACGGATGTCGGCAACCCGTACAGGGCACTTCTTATCGAGATCATACATGCTCTTGATCTTGGCATCTTCATGCATATCATCTCCTGCATCAGAGCCATGCTAAAAAAGAGGAAGGAAACACACGTGCTGAGAGAGCTAGATTTTGTCCTGCAAACAATAGCACGTGATACTCGAATCAGTGGTTTCCGGCTACCGGGTGGAGAGAAGGGTGGTTACTTTGCAGGTGCTGCAAAGTTTCAGGCGTTTGAACACCGTGCCATCATGCAAGTGTGCACGATTGTCCTTGCCGGGCGTGTAGATAAACAAATTGTGGATGTTGTAGCTGCATTTGTCGACCTCTACATGCTGGCCTTCAGGAGGTGGTACCATACGGATAACACCCTCCAAGAACTTGACTAGGCAATCAAAAGGTACTCCGAGTTTCTGCCCTGCCTTCTCTCCCAATTGGTTTCTGTTCTCATTCCACTCCGTGCCCACACCTTCCATCCATTTCTGCAATTCCTATCTCTCCCATATCGGTCTTACCTTTCTTTCTCTCTATTATCACATCTCAATCTAATCCCTACCTTGTTCAATCTGATGTCTTAAAAAATCGGAACCTGCCACTATATCTATCTCACCACTTTTCAACCCCATCTGTTTCCTAGATTGTGCCTTGTCTCTGTCCCTCCTTCATCCTCCCTCTCATCCCTCCACTCCCATCTCTCTCCTCTCTTCTTCCTCTCTCTCATCCCTCCACTCCCATCTCTGTCCTCCCCTTTTCCTCTCTCTCATCCCTCCAATCCCATCTCTGTCCTCCCTTCCTCTCTCTCATCCCTCCACTCCCATCTCTGTCCTCCCTTCTTCCTCTCTCTCATCCCTCCACTCCCATCTCTGTCCTCCCTTCTTCCTCTCTCTCATCCCTCCACTCCCATCTCTCTCCTCCCTTCTTCCTCTCTCTCATCCCTCCACTCCCATCTCTGTCCTCCCCGTTTCCTCTCTCTCATCCCTCCACTCCCATCTCTGTCCTCCCTTCTTCCTCTCTCTCATCCCTCCACTCCCATCTCTGTCCTCCCTTCTTCCTCTCTCTCATCCCTCCACTCCCATCTCTGTTCTCCCTTCTTCCTTTCTCTCATCCCTCCACTCCCATCTCTCTCCTCTCTTCTTCCTCTCTCTCATCCCTCCACTCCCATCTCTGTCCTCCCCTTTTCCTCTCTCTCATCCCTCCACTCCCATCTCTGTCCTCCCTTCTTCCTCTCTCTCATCCCTCCACACCCATCTCTGTCCTCCCTTCTTCCTCTCTCTCATCCCTCCACTCCCATCTCTGTCCTCCCTTCTTCCTCTCTCTCATCCCTCCACTCCCATCTCTCTCCTCCCTTCTTCCTCTCTCTCATCCCTCCACTCCCATCTCTGTCCTCCCCTTTTCCTCTCTCTCATCCCTCCAATCCCATCTCTGTCCTCCCTTCTTCCTCTCTCTCATCCCTCCACTCCCATCTCTGTCCTCCCCTTTTCCTCTCTCTCATCCCTCCAATCCCATCTCTGTCCTCCCTTCTTCCTCTCTCTCATCCCTCCACTCCCATCTCTGTCCTCCCTTCTTCCTCTCTCTCATCCCTCCACTCCCATCTCTTTCCTCCCCTTTCCCTCTCTCTCATCCCTCCAATCCCATCTCTGTCCTCCCTTCTTCCTCTCTCTCATCCCTCCACTCCCATCTCTGTCCTCCCTTCTTCCTCTCTCTCATCCCTCCACTCCCATCTCTGTCCTCCCCTTTTCCTCTCTCTCATCCCTCCAATCCCATCTCTGTCCTCCCTTCTTCCTCTCTCTCATCCCTCCACTCCCATCTCTGTCCTCCCTTCTTCCTCTCTCTCATCCCTCCACTCCCATCTCTGTCCTCTCTGTCCTCGCACCCATCCCTGCCCTGCCTTTGTCCTCCCTCTCAACCCTTCTCACTCCCATCTCTCTCCTCCCTTTCTCCTCCCTCTCGTCTCTTGTCAGATTGATTCCAATGTTGAAGGATGTGTTTGGCGAATTTCAAGCATCCGAATTCAACATCGGCAAGGTGCACAGCCTTGTGCATTTGGTCGATGACATTCGACGCTCCGGTGTCCCCGTTCACTACAACGCCAACATGTTCGAGTTTTTTCACCAACCTCTCGTAAAGAAGGCATACCGTGCAAGCAACAAACGTGACGCTATGCCTCAAATCGTGAAGCATAGTGTCATGGCACGAATGCTGCAAGCTCTTGATGACTCGGACCACAACAAGGAGGATTCGCACCATGGAATGGTCGCCCTACAAAAGGTAGATGATGCACGGTATAACATAGTCCTCTAAATTGCTTCTAACCATCTTCTCTCTGTTTTATAACAAGTGCACCCCAATCCCGACCGCAGGCCATGGAAACTGGGAGAAACACACTCGTGGCCACGTCGCACAAGGTGAACTGGAGGGACTCTCGAGTTGTTGGCGGCGATCTTTGGCGGGAATACGAAACAGCAGCACCTGGCGACATGTTGCAGCTCCGCGCCTTGTTGTCACAACGACAAGCCGATGGCGTTGAACGAAGCAACGAAATCCAAGTCAGAAAGGGCTTGGCTATACCAGGTGATGAGGACTTCACAAAGTATTCTAGTCAAACGCACTATGTGCGGGCAACTCCAATGTTCATGAAGGCACCTTGGTTCAGTGATGTTGCTGTTTTGGGATCTGAGGTGGAAGTGTTACCGGATGGCACGAGGAAGCCCAAGGATGTGATCTGGTATGCGCGGTTGCTGCTCTTGTTCGTAGTTGCACCAAAGGATCCAGCAGCAAAATTGTCGGACCAGAAGGAGCGTGCGTTCGTTAGGTTCTACCGCGTTACCGACGAGGTGCATGCATCCCATTGTCCTGTGCTAAGGTGGGAGGAACCGGATAATGAGTATCAGGTGGTGGAGATTGACAGTATTTTGAGGGTGGCTCATGTGGTTCCTATTGCTGGGGATAAGTTTGTGCTCAATAAGTTCAAATTCTTCTGAAAAACTCCTGATCTTCACTGGTTTTTGTTTAATCGTATACAGCCTTTCACAATCGTTGCACCCCTTTCATAATCAGTAGAAAACCCATGCGGACCAAATTAGCCCTATTCTTAGCGAACCATTCTGTGAAGAGCATTTGTTGTTCATTCAAATCTGTTTGTTTTCTCACGCGGACCTGCGAGGATTTCAATGTCGTAACTGCGACACTGTTTTGCTAAACAATGGAAATGTTATGCCGTGCGAGGTGCGAATCATATGTTTACGCTGAAATTTAAACTCTCGATAAACTAGGTCGTGGTGACGAAATCGGTTTCTTGATTGTTTTTTTTTTTTTTTTTAACACAGCTCACTCGATTGTTAACGGCGGCACTGTTTGGCAGCACTATCACTTTCGTGTTGTCTCTTTGTGCCAGCAAGTTGGCAGTTGGTCTGTGGGCTTGGTACAGCGTACATTACAGTTTCGGCTGGATTTCTGCACCAAGACTTCCGGTGAGCTGTTGCCTTGCTGGCTAGCCGAGGCGCTATGCGAAAAAACAGGCGCGAAACTGTAGCAACACTCTGACTCTGTGCTTCGCAAAGTCGACTCAGTTTGCCCTGCTGGCTAGTTGCGCGACAAAAGAGCCCACCATCGATGTGCAGCGTTGACAGCTGGATGTTTCAAACTGTTGACATGTATGTGCATCGATCAAAATGTGGGCAGGGTCAATGTATTTTGTTGCGTGATTGCACGGTGCGGAACTGCAGAACCTTCTAAACATTCTTCTGTTCGACTCAAAAAAGATGTCGAACAAAAAAAAAACGTGTGATGTATCTGCCCGTCCGATCTGATCGGCAGTTCGCTAAAGTCCAGAAACACCAACGTCTTCTGTCCACGTCATTCCGACCTCATTCCGTTTTGCTAAACCGAGTCAGAAAATACACAACGTTCTGTACCGTTGGGGAAACCGCGCCATGCCCTTTTGGTCGCAAATTCGCCAGTAGCCACATTAACAGACACTTTCACGCACCGCTTGTGCTCACAGTATCCCGCCTAAAAAGAATCACAACGGTAGAAGCCAACGGGTAGCCTTTACTTCCCTGCTCTGTACCATATGCCATGTGTGCTCCAGCTATTCCTGGTGTTAAGTGCTTTGGACGGGGTAATTATAAAAAAAAATAGTACTGCCCCACAGCCATCTATCCCGACCTTTCGTTTCCATCGCTGTCCCCACTCTCTCTTCACCAGCGGATCCTCGTCCCCTCATGGCTGAACTCCCTCGTGAGTTTCTGGAGGGTCGTGCCAAGAGGAAGAAGAACATCCCTGCTAGGTTTCGTAATTACGAAACAGAGTACCCTGGTTCATGCGGGCGAGCAGTAGCACATGGAGAGTTAAGCAAAGCACAGAAAACTACTCAGGCAGGTACACCAGTCAACCCTGCTCCCTTGGTTGGTAGTCCTGCACCTGCCGCAAGCGGTCCTCCAACGGTTGCAAGTGATTCAGCCGTGGTAACTAATGGTACTACCGTAGTTGGATTTACTGCAACGAACGTCAGCGCAGAGAACGTGATAGGTTCTCAGGAGGACGGCTCTCACGACAACCTTGCCGCCTCAGGGTCCGACCTCGCCGTCGTCCGCACAGGTACTATCCCTTTTCAACCCACGAAAACTAGTGGTTTTCTTCTTGTGTGGTTCACTTTACTAAACCGTTTAGTTGTTTGTTTTCTTTTTCAGGGACCCCAATCTCCTCAGACCGGAACGTGTATCATCGGGAAGCTAACACGTTCAACTCGCTGGAGGCCTCAATTCGCGTTACACTCGCCACCATTGTGGATACGCTCGACAGCGTCAACGAGAGGCTTCGGCACACCGAAGAAACACAGCGAGCCCTCCTCAAAATCGTCACCGAACTCTCCAAAAACATCAATCTACCTAGCTGGGGGTCTGATGTTCAAGTCCAGGTGTGTTTAGTTAACCGATTCGTTAACCGTTCCGTTTTCGCATCAATGCTTTCCAACATCAAGCTAACAAACTCTTTCGTTGCTCTTTGCTGCAGGAGAAGTTTGGCGAAGTGTTTGACACGATGTTGAACGGTGCTAAGCTCGAGAATCGGCGGATCTATCCATCCCCCGAAGAGTTCAAGGCCGTTTTGTCTGATGTGCTAGATGTGCAGGTCGAAGAGGCTGCTAGGTTCAACTCTGATTTTAAGAACAAAAATTGGGGCGATAAAATGATAACTCTTTGCAATGGCAGGAGAGGGAAGCTTAGCACCAAATTTCGGCAGTGTGCATATGCTCTTCTCAAAGATCCTCTTGACAAAGTCGTCCCGAATGACGTCGACTCTCGACGGAACTACGCTACGAACTACCTGTGTGGTGAGTTACTGATGTGCTGATTTCACTATTTGTGACTACTCTAATTTTTTCTTTTTTGGTCGCTGCAGAGTTGTTTGGCCTGCCATGGCATGCTCTGGGTGAAAATCCCCTAGCTAGCCCAGCCTTTATCACCGCCGCCAGTGCGTGGTACAAGGAACCCCCCGAAGATGTTGCGCTCACGATCGATCAAGTCTGCTACATCCTGTATGCGGTGAGTGGTTTGAACTGTTTATGTATTAAATGCAAAGCTCCTCTTCTGTACTGATCAACTCTTAGTGTTGTCCGCCAGGTTGAGAACAGCATGATCACAAGCATGAGTAGTCTGCATTCGGAACAGTCATCAAACAAGCGGGAAATGGACATCAGGAAGGCCCAGATTGAGCGGTGGATTGACAGGGCCAATATTCCTCTTATAGCTGGTCATTATGATTTCGGTGAAGTGTGTGTCCTCAATTGGCGTAGGTAAAATGTTATGCCTTTTTAATGATATTTTGATTTTTTAATCTAGCCGAATTTATTGCATATAGCGATTAGAAATTAGCATGTGAGAAATTGGTTTACGTGCGTGCGTAAATTGGTGTACCAAGTTTTGAGTATAACGGATGTATCTATTCTATGCCAATTTGAGTATAACGGATGTATCTATTCCAAATTTGATTCCATAGTGTCGTATCTTTTGTGACTCTAAAGGGAGTCAACTTTTATCCGTTTTTAGACCCTAGTACAAATAATGAAATGTTACGAAATGACATGTGTAACAACATTCCATCCAAACCCTGCTGACATGGCAACATTTCGCGTGACTCCCAGCAGTCTGCCCGTGGTTGGCGAAGCTCCAGCATTCTCGAACACTTCAAGCACACTGTGTTTCCATGCAATCGCTACCCAGTATTTCGCACCAACATCGAGAACCCAACTGTCAGGCACATTCGAACCTGACTTCCAGATATTGGCGGGAATACTCAGGAAAAGGTGCGATGACGAATCGGATTCTAATATTCTAGGGAATACTTACTCGTCGACTGTCGCCTCTCGCGACTCTCGTCGCTCCAGCCGCTGAAATAGCCGCGCTGTTGGCGAAGTTACCGAAGCGGCTAGAAGTGATCATGCTCGAGCATCGCACGTAGAACTGAGGCTTCCAGCAGTTAGCTGGAAGCCTTCCTGGTGACTCCCGATTTCGGGAGTCCTGTCAGTCGGCTTTCAATGCGGGGGGGTAATTGTGGGGCAACAGAACCACCCTGCAGTCAACCTGCGCAGTGCCGAAACCAACCTGCGAGGCGACTGCATTGCGTAAGTTGGGAATCGCATGTCAGTTGGGGCGAGCATATCGATTTTGTTACCTTCCTAGTAGCCTGAGGCTACCATACGATACAACGTATGTATGTATTAGCTGCTTGAGCAGATCATGCAGCACAAGGATTCAAGGAGTCATACTAGGTGAAAAGAGTTTGTTACAATCACTGATACGCTGTGTTACTGATTGACATCCAGGCACCCAAGCACCCATCTACGAGAATACAGAATACCCACAATCACCCACATATTGTACACACACCACAAGGCTAACATCCATTGCAGCAAGCAGAAGGCTCCTCGTCTTTTCCCCGCCACTATTACACGCTCCCAGTCTTGAC